ACGTCCTCCACCCCATGCACACACAACCACATCTGTGGTGATGGGCGTTCTCATAGTCGATACCATCTCAGCCGCAACCACTTCTTATGATTCTCAGCTGCATCCTTAAGACCTAGTTTCTTTGAAATGAAGGCAGTTGCCATTGCTTCCCAGGACCTCTGGTGGTGTTTTCTGTCAAAGCAAAGAGGAAAGGAACCAACATTTGTTACGGAACTATGTTGTACACAAAGCTTCCCATGCATTTTCCCCTTTCACCCACATAACAGTGTAGCTCAGTGGTTCTCAACCTTGGCCGCACATTAGAATCACCTGGGAATCTTTTTAAAATCCTGATTTCCAGAGGATGAGGCGCAGAAACCAGGATTTTAAAAAGATTCCCAGGTGATTCTAATGTGCAGCCAAGGTTGAGAACCACTGCCCCACGCTGTGTTGTATCTCAGCGTATTGTGGGGATCTGCGATGTGTCTGTGACCCAAGGGATATGCGTTGCCTCAGTTGCCATGCTAAGGATCATTTGCAGTGTATTTCATTTTCACGTGTGTTGGTTTTCAGATTCTCTATCAAAGGTTGAATTCCTCTGTAGCAAGAGTGAAGCGTGATAGCCATGTTAGAAGCCGAAATCCTGTTTGGCTCCCAGAGGCAGGCTGGGGTGGTGGAAAGAACAATTGGCCAGGAGTCAAGCTGGCCCAGTGCTGTGTGACTTTGGGCAAAGCTCTGAACTTTAGGGGCCTCAATTGTTTTATATATAAAGTGGGTCCATTTGTAACTATCTAAAGTGCCTCCCAGCTCTCACATTCAAAATAAATATCTAAGAGTATTTTCAAGTCACATATCTGAATGCTGGAAAATGGATCAGTCAGCCTCTCTGGCCAGCCTGCTGATTCTTATTATCCAGTTGACTAGATAATATCAACCAGGTCCTGCCTATGATGCTAGGCCTTTGCCTAATCATGATGAATAGCTGGAGAAGGGGGAAGGCTCAGGGGAAGTGTGGAGGCCAGGCTGGAGGGCTTCACGGCTCTCCTGGCTTTCCTCGGAAAGTGCCCACACTCTCTCTGCACCACAGGAGCTGACATTGCAGTTAGGGCTGTCGATTGATTTTTTTTAATGCATGATTCCAACCATAGGCCTGGTCTATGACAGGGGATTAATGAATGAGTGAATGAACAGACAAACAGATATGGCCTTTAACATACAGAGGAGGCAAGACAGCTGTCTCTGGCAGTTGACTAAAGTCTTTGTACATCATGGTGAGATTCTAAGGATTCAATGAGATGAGACATGTAAAGTGCCAAGCATGGGACCCAGTACAAAACACGCTTCATAAGTGTTAGCGGAAGGAGTGTGGGATGACCCCCGTTCTGCCTGGAGGAAAGCAGGACGGTGCTCTCTCTGCACTGAGTGCCTGTCTCCTCCTTCACATCTGCCCACCAGCCCCTGGGTGATTATTAGCATCTTTTCTATCTGCAGCGCCTCACTCAGCACAACGCGCATGTGGGGAGAGAATGGTAACATATGAAAAGTGAGTCCAGGAAACTTACCCCCGTTCCACTTCAACTAAATGGCATAACAATTAGAAAATCAAATGCTAATTTGGTTTAGACTTCAGGAAGAATAAGACATCAGTGTGGGCCGGTAGAGAAGATTTTAACAGCATCACCTAGGTAGTGGGTGTTTGGTTTTTTAAAATCTACATCTTTATAAAACTTGGGCTTTGATGTCAGACACGTGAATTCATCTATAAAATATTTCATATGACTGAGATAGAAAAAGAAATGGATTAAACTTAGCAGTTTATCGTGTTAAGATATACATAAATAGCACTTACTGAATTTGATAGAATTTCTTACTCTTTTTTTTTTTTCAGAATTGGAGGGGTAGGAAGGGTGAGAGAGAGAAACATTGATTTGTTGTTCCACTTATTAAGCATTCATTGGTTGATTCTTGTAGGTGCCCTGACTGAGGATTCAATCCACGATCTTGGTGTATTGGGATAGTACTCTTACCAACTGAGCTATCCAGCCAATGCTTCAAGAATTTGCTGTTCTTTTGCCACTTTAAAAGAAACGAGCCATGCCCTGGCCAGTGTGGCTCAGTTGGTTGGGCATTGTCCTGTGTACCGAGGGGTTGTGGGTTCAATTCCCAGGCAGGGCATATGTCCAGGAGGCAGCCAATGGATGTTTTACATTGATGTTTCTTTCTCCCTCTCCCTGTAAAAAGCAATAAAAATATTTTTTTTAAGAAAGAAATGAGCCAAAAACCCAACCTTAATTCCTTACTCTAGTGGCTACCAGCTTTTCCGGGGCCATGTGTTTCAGTGAGCCTGACTCCCCTTGTGTCCTGAAAGCTTAGCATAAAAGAGGCTTATAGATAGTCCTTTAGGCAAGAGAAATCAAGAATTACACAAAGACCCCTACAAAATGCCTTTCAGTTGAACAAGAAAAAGAGGTAAATGAATCTCATGAAAAGAAACGGAGCTGTTATGCTATGAGGGCTTGCGGTCTTTTTGAAAAAGATGACTGATGCCATGGTTCATCATGCTTTTCCCCGCGTGGCTGAGACATGAGCTCTCCTGCCTCCTCAGCAGAAGGCACTGCCCCTGTGATGGAGTCTGGTTCACTCACCCCCAGCAGTGGCAGGACCTCTCCTATCTCTTGCCTGACTCAGACTGAGGTGGCTGCCAAGCATTTATTTACTCATTAGTTCACTCACTCAACAAACAGTCTCGGGCTGTCAGCTCTGTGCCAGGCTCTGTGCTGGGTGCCGTCATTGCAAAGGTGATTAGGACGTGGGCCTCGCCTCCGAGGAGTTTGCAGAGTTGACAGATTAGCGGATGAGACAGATGTGCAAATAGATCATTGGAACGCAGTGGGGTGAGTTCTGTCCTGGAGGTGTGGTGGAAGCGTGGAGAATGGCCAGCTGCACTGTGCCCTTGGGAATCGAGGAAGGCTTTGCGGCGAAGTGGTGTGGGAGCTGCACAGAGAAGTGAGGGAAAGACATCCCACAGAGAATTCACACTAATGACTCTTACCAAGATCCAGGCACTGTCCGGTAAACGCCTAATTTACTCATCCCCGAAGCCCTGCCGGAGAGGTCTTATTTGCCCCTAACTTTACAAAACAAGGAGATGACACTTAGAGGGTTCAGTGACCTGTCCGAAGTCTCATGCAGAAGGAATCAGAACTAGGATTTGGACCCAATTTGGGGGAGACTCCAAAACCCATAGTCCTCCTGCCACACCTTCCTGCTTACAGGGGTCATGAAAGAGCCGTTTGGGGAACAGTAAGAAGTCCAGTGTGCTGGCAGTGGGGAGCATGGGGATAAGTGCTGGAAAGTGAATCCCAAAAGGTAGCCTGAAGCCAGGCGGTCAGGGGCCTCATATGCTATACCTTCACCCCACAGCACTAAATGAGTACCCACTGCTTTTCAGACACCAAGCAACATGTTCAGGCCCTGCACCTGGGGGCTCACTCTCTAATAGGGAAAGCTGGAAGGACTTCTCTCTTCTGGACTTGAATTCAAAGTTGGTCTTTTAGGGAGGAGAAGGCCGAAACTCCATCAGCAGCTCCGGGGAGGAGTTTGCTCTGCTGGAAACCTAGGCAATGGGAAAACTATTAGAAACATCTAATAAAAACCATGGCCTCTCTGGTGATGCAGAACCACAAAATGATGACACTGTCCATGTAGGATTTGGGGACGCTGTCATGACAGTGTGTGTCCAAGGGTTCTGACTGGGCCTCTTTGGGCTGGGCTCCTAGGGAATTGGGAGAGGGGTGGAATTCCCAGCAGAGAGTTGGACTCTGGGTGGGAGAGAGGGAAGGGCCTTACTAGACCCAGGGCAACTGCCCCTACGGTTTCTCCCATGCCCTCATGCCTGTGCAGCCCTCATGCACAGCCCTGCCACCAGCATGGTGTGGCCACTGTACCCACTCTCTGGCTAAAACTTCGATTTGCTACTTGAGGAAGTATGCATATTAGCTTGGATAACAAGCATAAAGACTTCTTGGATTTATGTAGCACATTATCTTCCTACAGTTCAAAGTCTCCTTAAGGCTTTTATTCCACTTGATTCTAAGTGCATCTCTATGAATAAGAAAATGCAGATGTTGTGATTCTCATTTTATTGAGGTGGATAGAGAGATACAGAAAGACGTGTGAAGCAGAACGTAATTTTTCCAGCCTGTGTAAACTAGGGACATTTCAGGAGGGCAGTACTTGGTTTGTTCTTTAGGTTTTAGCTTTTCAGGGAGCATGAATGATCGTGGAGCCTTCAAAGCAGTATTTGCATAAAAGGAATTTGCCTCTGCCTCGGCTTCCACTCTCCACTCCCCGCCCCATAAATTTGATCTTTCCTGATTCTCCAGTCGGCCTTTTCAGCATTCATTTCCCGACCTGCAGACGTCATGCGCTGTGCTGTCCCCCACGAGCTTCCAGGAAAATCTCTGATAAACTCATTTCACTGAAATGGAAAGGACTGATAAGCCCAGAACTACCCTGCCAGTTAGTCATTGAGTGTTTATTAGGTGGCAGGCATGTGCAGAGGGTGGCTGATATGCATAAACTAATTTAAACTTCATAGCAACCCCCTGAGGTGGTTTACTATTATTAACCCCTCTTGACAGAGAAGGATACCAAGGCTTAGGGGAGCTTAATATATCATCCCCCTCCCCTGGGTTATTTGCATTTGAACAGTGGACACAGAAGACGGTGGCCAAAAAGTGGATCTGCCCTCGAGAAATTTCAGGCATCCTCTGGGGATCATGGATTAAATCTTTGAATTTTTAAAAAATGTTGGCCCCGGCTTCCCTGACTTCTCAGTCAACGGGGAACATGCATTTGTTAGTCATCCGGGAGATGTGTGGAATCTTCTAAGTCTTAGAATCTAAGACATCGAGAGCTCATTTTGACTGTACGTTTACAAATTGCTTCATGCAGTGTCTCAGTGAACTCATTTATTTACTGTGGGTTCCCAGCAAAGTAAAGCTCTTCTCCTTTTGTAGGCATTTGCCTGAAAAAGTTAAGGATGACCAGCAGCTGAAGAACATGAGTGGCCAATGGTTTTATGAAGCCAAGGCCAAGAGGCACAGAGACAAAATCCATGGCACCGATATCATCAGAGCATCCATGAGGAAGAAGAGGCTCCAGGTAGCAGGTGAGCTGACGTGGCGAGTACATGTAGAGCCAGCGTTTGTTTGGGAAGGAGGAGGTGGGAGACGGGAAGTGTCAGAATCGTTACTAAAATCCGCTGAGGAACAGCATGTAATCGTACACTTTTCATAATGCGTAGCCCTCCAGCTCAAAATGTTCTTGCCCTGCATTTGGATGGGTGAGGGTGGGGCTGAGTGACTCAGGGTGCTGCGAAGGAAAAAGGGAGTTCTTCAGATGCCATGGTGAGGAGGAGTAGCATAGATAACCGAGATTGATAAGTATATCGCCCTCCTCCCCCTCTCCTTTCCCCTTCCCTTTCCCCCTTTCCCCTTCCCCCTTCCCCTTCTCCTTCTCCTCCTCCTCCTCCCCATTCTTGCCCTATTTGGATGGGTGAGGGTGGGGCTGAGTGACTCAGGGTGCTGCGAAGGAAAAAGGGAGTTCTTCAGATGCCATGGTGAGGAGGAGTAGCATAGATAACCGAGATTGATAAGTATATCGCCCTCCTCCCCCCCTCTTTTCCCCTTCCCTTTCCCCCTTTCCCCTTCCCCCTTCCCCTTCTCCTTCTCCTCCTCCTCCTCCCCCTCCTCC